AGCTGGTACTTTATACTAGAACCCTCTTCAGTCAACTAACAGAACAAAGCAAGGGAAAAAGACAGAGAACAAAGGAATCAGGTCACATGACCTGTCTCCTCAGTTGAGGTAGGATGGGGATGAGGGATAATCTTCTTGATAACAGGATCAGGTCTGTTATGTATGACCCAAGCCACATCACATACCTGCCAACAATGATTATTGTCTCTTGTCATGACTCATACAGCTCTGCATTATGATCCCATTCTCGTTGCCGACGTTCTGGTAGAGAATCAGGTTCCCAGGATGACTTATACGTCAATGGTGTTTTTTTTTTCTTTATTGCACACAGAGTTAACTGCCAAAAGCAGCATCCAAAAGGTATAAATACAGACAAACTTGTTTACTCATAGTGTACAAGCGTCCAACAAAATAGAATCACGGGAAGGTATTTAACTTATAAAGTGAATAGGTCCCATTATAGCATCCAATCCTACAGACAATAGAAAATGTTCCTCTTTAATGGCAAACTCAAGATCTTCGATCATCTTGGCAAAGTGTTTTATTTGAATAGATTACAGTTCCAAGGTCAACTGACAGTTCATTAAAAATAATAGATTTTTTTATAAAATATATTAACTTATTTTTTATTAAAATATAAACTGTATTGTCTTTAAAGGGGGTTTCATCAGATTTGATATTGGCCTAATGAAAGCTAATAGGTACAAAATGACGCTTCATGTAGGTAGTATGCAGCTATCAAACAGGAGGTACTACCACCTGGGAAGATATTGGAAGCATAATGTGTTGTCTAATGGTAGACCCTGCTGCCATATGGCACCACAAAAATAGTGAGCAAGTTCCAGGTTGCTCATCTGACTTTCTGCCTCATTTACACAATTGCAGGTCTCAATTGCTTCTCTTACTTTGACAACACAACATACATACAGTATATCATTTTTCACTATAGATCTTTATTTTTCTTCAAGTCGGAATGCTACGCTTCAGCGATTCAGCTGTAAATACACACAAAGGAGAGCTCTGCGAATTTGTGTTGTAATTGCTGAAATACTAAGTTCCGCGAGGATTTTTTTACAGTATTTGTACTTATTAGCACAGTGTTGAAGTAGAGTGACTTTTATTTTGTTATGTCTCTCAAATATTGTATTTGGGACAATTTCTTATACGATCTCTGGTCAGCATCATGGCGACCACAATACGTCTTTGTGAAGTCGTTTAGATCGTTGTGACTATTCCTTGCCTTTAAGTCACTCAGTGAATGTTGCTGCGCCCTCCTGGGCTCGTCTTCACTAAAAGAGAATATGTGAATATATCTATTTATATATACATATATATGTATACTGTTTACGGTTTTCTTTGTCCCAATTATTCACGTGCTCGTATGAATGCCATGACTGTCTCTTCCTACTCTTGTTCGTTCACAAAAAACCATTGGGCTTCCGCCCTCGGTTTTCTAATTGCTCTCGGCATGAAGGCCAGAGTTGAGTTTTTCTCTTCATAACTTTATTTTATTGATGTCCTCAGTAGTGGGTTCAGCCTTTCCAGGCGAACTTTAGCTCGGCTGCTAGACTTAGCTTTCCTTCCGGAATGTTGACCTTCCAGTCTTCCTAGCAATCTAGAGTTATGTTGAAATGGACTTTACATCCTTATATGGGTTATTTGAGAACAATTCAGGGTGGAATTCTCATCCCAATAAATATTGCTTGAGTAATAGTGAACGCTGTTGCCAATAGAGCGATTTTAAATAAAAATATAATAATAATAATAATAATAATAAAGGACCATAAATAAATCCAAACAAAAAAAAGATTAATAGTGAGAAACGATATATGTATGTTGTGATGTCAAAGTAAGAGAAACAATTGAGACCTGCAATTGTGTGTAAATGAGGCAGAAATTCAGATCAGCACCCTGACTTGGTTGCAATTTTTGTGGTGCCATATGGCAGCAGGGTCTACCATTAGACAACACATTATGCTTCCAATATCTTCCCAGGTGGTAGTACCTCCCTGCTTACTACCTACTACCTATATGATCACCCTCCTATGGTGTATGTTTTACCCCTAATAATATAAAATATTAAATAATACAAGAAATATGATATATAATTTGAATTTTCGCTGTAAAATAATTGAGACTTGAAATGGAGTGCAGCCTGTGTGTGAGAGAGAGACATTGGATGATGTAATATGAGCTCGTCTTCTGCTCTCTTCTCAGGAGAATTACCGTCACCATTGTTTATATTATTTTGCCTAAAATCTTACCATGTACAGTTGTACCCCACTTAACGCGGTCAATTGAACCCAGAGGGTCCCGCGTTAAGTGAAATCCGCGTTAAGTGAACAACAGAACATATGGGATTAATTCCAATAGAAACCGGCCCGACCCTCAAACTCCACTTTTTGAAGGCACATACCTATGTTGTAGTAAAAATAACATCTTAATTTTATGATGGTACATGCACACAATTAATACTTAAGAGAAATAGAGAAATACAGTCGCCAAGTTAATGTCCATTCAAATAATGGACTCAACTCCCTCCCACTCTCACACTACACTGCCGGCTCTTCCCTCTCAGAGAAATTTTTGGGGGAAAACCACTAAATTTTAATAAATAATACCTCAAACTAAAGTTAGGATAATACAATTGACATTGCTGGATTCCTTGTAAGACCAGGAATATTTTGAATATAAATGTCACATATTTTGCACAAAAGATAACATAGTTACCTAGAGAAAAAATTTTATCTAAAATTTGTATGTTTAATGCAAAATATATGATGTTTATATTCAAAATGATCACCAAATTATAAGAATTCCAGCAATGTAAATTATATTCTGACCGGGTAATTTGTATGAATTTTATGAGCTAAAACAAATATCTTCAGTTAATAAAAAAATAATAATCTTCATGACACTATCTGTCAATCAAAGTACCCCACCTTGCCTCCCCCCCTCTTCCAACCGCGCGGTCAGTCCCAACCCTCCCCCCCACCCCCCACCAATCCTCCCTTCCAGAGTTTTTAACATTTAGTAATAAATAATACCTCAGATTAAAGTTAGGATAATATAATTGACATTGCTGGATTCCTTGTAAGATCAGGAATATTTTGAATATAAATGTCATTTATTTTGGACAAAAGATACCATAGTTACCTAGAGAAAAATTTTTATCTAAAAATTGTAAGTTTAAAGCAAAATATATGATGTTTATATTCAAAATGATCACCAAATTATAAGAATTCCAGCAATGTAAATTATATTCTGACCGGGTAATTTGTATGAATTTTATGAGCTAAAACAAATATCTTCAGTTAATAAAAAAAAAATAATTCTTCACGGGGTAACAGATGGTCGGTTGGTCGGTCCCTCCCTCCCCCCCACCCCCCACCCCCCACCAACCGTCCCAAGGAGATGTGTGGGATAACCACTAAATTTTAATAAATAATACCTCAAACTAAAGTTAGGATAATATAATTGACATTGCTGGATTCCTTGTAAGACCAGGAATATTTTGAATATAAATGTCATATATTTTGCACAAAAGATAACATAGTTACTCTGAGAAAAAATTTTATCTAAAATTTGTATGTCTAATGCAAAATATATGATGTTTATATTCAAAATGATCACCAAATTATAAGAATTCCAGCAATGTAAATTATATTCTGGCCGGGTAATTTGTATGAATTTTATGAGCTAAAACAGGCAGTCAGGCAGGGTGGTGGGTGGGGCAAATCTAAAAATAGCGTCTCGAGCCGGACACTCACCGCGTATATGTGGAAAAAATCCGTGTTAAGTGAAAGTTCAGCTCTGGCGAGGCACCGCGTATATGATAAAACGCGTTAAGTGAAACCGCGTTAGGCGGGGTAATACTGTATGTTGAACCAAAAGTTTACCAATCACAGTGTAGCATTATGGGTGAGTCTATTTTAAATGTGGAGGAATCAACTGCTCACTCATGTGTCTGAGAGGGGGAAAGACACCAAGGGATTGCATGTTGGCAGATCTCCTGTTTCCCATGTCCTGCATGTAGACATGATTGTCAACTGGCTATGCAATGTGTTTGCTTTTATTTATTTATTCATCACCTTTACTGGTATGCATGCTACTATAGAGCTGTATGATGTCTTTGAACTTTGGATATAATGGGTTCACTCTACACACCATTTTCTGGAAAAGCAACCCCTGTGTTAAGTGAGGAGGCAGTGTATCCTTAATAGGTAATTTTACATTGTTTAGATTTTTGACAGCAATGGCTCAGAGGTGAGGTGCATTATTGTGCCTTCAAAATATATGATCCTACTCACCCACCACACAATTTACAGTTACTACCATACCACCTCACACAAACAACACAATCAAATGTTATGATATTTTTGTTTTGTTTTATGGTTTTGACTGACAGTAAACTCCCATAATAAGTTTTAAATTTTACTTAATTTACATTGAAAATAATTAGATTTGGCTTATAAATACTTGGGAGAAATTGGTGGCAGTCAGTGTGGCTACATAAATTGGGAGTAGTGGGCCACAGCCTGTCATAGTTCTTTTCATTTTTTCTTATAAAGCATAAACTTTACACTAGAAATGCTAATTGATAGTCTTTAGATGTAAATATTGGACTATCATGAATGTAAACAATACTGTACCATGGTAAGTGATTACAAGTTATTCAGAAATAACCCAGACTGTACCATAACTATTTAGGTAAGTGCAGAGGTTTGCAGAAAATGTGAGCCTTAGAAGGTTTGACTTTTTAGGTGCTTATGGTGACTTGAACTGAAGCTTGAGTGAGGCTAGTCAGTATTGCCATCACTTTTTTGATGATCACTTGTAAGAATTATTTAAAATCATATACTAGTAAGATGGCAAATAAGTTGGAATGCAGGTAATCTTCCATCACTCAAACCTATTTCATTTGGTTAAGTACTGTGCTATATTAGTGCTAAATTGCTTTGAATTTTTTAGTTCATATCTTTTAAATTTTTCATGTTTAGGTTATGTGTGGTAACAGGATCTAAGGAGGAAGTGTGGCCTCTGTGCCAGGAGCTAAAACCAGCAGCCCGACATGGACAAGTTATATGTCTGCCTATATTTAAAACCCTTCAGCATGAAGTCTTCGTACAGTCACTCCTCAAGAAGGTGAGGTGGGAAAAGGTTGGAGAGGGTAATCAAGAGGTAGAAGGCCAATGCAAGTGAGCTTTTGTTTCAGATGGAATGAATACAAAGAAATTTAGAGTACTGTAATGCACTTTACCATGATAAGGCAGTATATAGAAGAGTTCGGTATGGATCCCTTGTTCTGTAATGAGCATCAGTGAATATATTTAGTAAATAATTTCTTGTTGTTTTAGGCTGACATACAATGAAAAGTTGGATAATTAACATTTATTACTTTCAGAATAAGTTTTTACAAAATGAGGCCTGTGGTACCCTGACTGAGATTGCAGATTTCATCACTTACGTTCATGAGTCGTACTGTGCAGATGAAGCATTAACTAATGCAAACGTTGCTGTGAATCAACTTACATACTCATCATTGAAGCAGTTACCAGCAGTGACCTCATTGGCAAAGTTGGTAGCTGCTTTCTCTGAGCTCCTTCAGCAAAGGAAGAATGAAATACAGTCCAAAGTGAGTGTTTGTTTTTCCTCTTTAACACCGATTGGCTTGTTAGCTATTTGGGCAGGTGGTCATGTCTCTGTTACACATTGTTGGCAAGTACTGGGCATGTACTGGTTCCAGAATGTATCTGAACCTGCATCATTGTTTGTCAAGTCTGAAGTTAAATGAGTTTCAACCACACGTGGTGTTGTTACAACACTCTCTAGCTGTAATGATCTTGCTATAGGTTACCATACACCAAGGAGAAAGCCCTTGGAAAATTAAGAAAAAAAATCATATCTTCCTTTATATTGTGTAACTTTCTTACAATTTTCTTGATTTAAAACAATGATAATATTACTTTTCTCTCTTAGCTGAATGATCTGAAGACTGCACTGCATCGAGTGGAAGAGCTAGAGGATCATATTCAAGGGCTGCGTGACTCGCACAGCTCACTGAAGGACACACTCTCCCAGGTTGACATTACCAAAGAAAAGATAAAGGAGAACCTGAAAAAGAGTTTGTTGAATTTTGTCTCATGTTTTGGGTTTTGTTCTTCTTCATATTTTTCTTTTAATGCAGAATCCTTTTTCTCTCTTTGGACATGAACAATGATATTTTTCAGAAATCCAGGAACCATAAAAAAATAACTTATCTTCAGATGTTGAAATCATTACAGTAATACCTCTCTATACCAAAATGATTGGTGAGCATCCAGTTTGGTATAGGGAGCTTTTCGATAAAAGCAAATCCGAAAAATAGGGTATATTTAATCCACATAAATTGTCACACTAGCAATACCCCATTTAGCACTCACAATACGTTTGTTGAATAATAGAGCACTATCCAAAACAGCATTCTAAGGGGTCATTATACCATTGTGTATATAAAGAGGCATTCCTGATGATGTCATTTTTAATCTATGAGATTTACAGTATTATATATGAAGGGTACAGGTATTAATAAACACAGAATATTACAGTAACATATATTTACTAATTAATGAAAAGTGAATAAACAATATTTTATTTCAAATGACAGTCGTTTCATGAATGAGTGTAAGATGCTGTGTGTGGGTGGGTGGGTGGGAGGGAGGGAAGGTGGCAGGCGGGAGGCAGTGGATTTCGTAGGGCTCGCTCTGATTGACGCTAATAATTCTTTGCCAGAACCTAACATTTTCACATTCCGCGGTCGTGAACCCCATTACGCGGAGAGCGGCTGGCAAGCCGCGCCATTTTTGGATCCAAACCTCCCGCCATCCGCCATGTTGTGTAAGAGGCGCGAAAATGGTGCGCACAAGGTCGCCCAGTCATCAAAACATGACCAGTTCTTCACCCGCCACCCACTACAGCCGACCCAAGTCAGTGATAGTGATAATTATAGTGAGGATATGGACTTATATGAACTTTGGGGGGTTTGACAAAGAGGCCCTGCAAGCCTCTGTGGTGGATAGTGATACAATTGATACAAGTGATACAGGTGAGGGCCAATAATCTGCCCTCTGCCTCGGAACCAACCGCCCATCCCTGTGTGCCCAGCCATCTTTTCTACTAATGTAAGTGTTAAAAAACCTAATATTATTGATATATCTCTTAATTATTAATTGTGTGTGCATGCCATCATAAAGTTAAGATAATATTTTTACTACAACATAGTTGTGTGTCATCAAAAAGTGGAGTTTGGGGATCGGCCCGGACTCCATTTCAATTAATCCCATATGTTATGTTATTCACTTTACGCGTTTCTCACTTTCCGCGGTACCCTCCGGGTTACATTAACCGCGTAATATGAGGACCAACTGTATATATATATATATATATATATATATATATATATATATATATATATATATATATATATATATATATATATATATATATATATATATATATATATATATATATATATATATATATATATATATATATATATATATATATATATATATATATATATATATATATATATATATATATATATATATATATATATATATATATATACAATGCAGTGCTAGGGAGTTGCTGTCTGGTTGAGAGGAGGTCTTGTCTTTTTGAGAGTGTTGAGTAGAATCCCCTTCATGGCGAGACTGAGGGTATTTATACGAGACTGCCGGAAGTGAGCAGATCTGCTGATTGGCTGAGGTGAAAGGTGGTAACTGGCCAATCACCGCACAGTCCGAAAGCGTGGCTTGGTCTGAGAAACTCGCCTCAAGGTTGGCTGGTCAGCGACGGATTGGCAGTTGGAGGGGAGTGTCCACTGCAGTGTAGCTGAAGTTGATGGTTTAGGCCTTCAAATAATAAAGCTGTCAAAAGAACCTTGCACAGCTGCTATCTTTTCTCATCATACATCTTTATGTAGAGGTCATTTGCATTTATTTAAATTTTAATGTTTTTTCTCTTAATGGATACACTTCAGATTTATGTTCAATTGCTGGCACCATATAATATCTACAGATCTCTCGCCTTTTTCCTATCGTTTTAACACATCTAGTTTCTCGGCTAAGCTTATACGCTTTCTATTAGCTTTTGAAACAACACTACCATTGTAGATATATGAGACGAATATGGCTGTAATATGTAACTCTGTACTATTTACCATTATTGATTCAGGTCTCTGTATTATATGTTTTATAATCATACTCCCTTTTGTCACCAAGTGTTAGTTCAGGCTTTGGGCACATGCGCGCTGTACGCGCATGCGCAGACAGAGATACCCAGAGAGATTCCAAGACAGGACGCTGTTTACCCCTGTCTTAACTCCTTTTTGTGTTTGTACCAGAAATAGAACTTACGGACTTGACATCAGTGTGTTTCCTTTACCCCTGAGTGTAAGGACCACCTGAGTATCACATATGGCGCAGTGTTTAGCTGGGACATCACATTATTCAGAATTGGAGTGGACACAGAATCTCTCTCGGAGCCGCCATCTTGTCAACTTCTCTTGAGTGGATCTTGGTGTGTACCTCAACACGATATTCCTGGATTTACAGTGCAGTGTTGTGAAGTGCTTTTTCAGTGTTGTGTGTGCCCTTTAGTGTCTTTAAAGTGTTTCCCCGTGTTCGTGCACTTTTTACAAAAGAGGGAAGCCTTTTTAAGACCTATGGGAGAGCTCAAGTTTTGACATCCACCCCCGTTCATGTCTTGACCGGCACTGAGTGTCTGCGCTAGCCAACCTGCCCCGAGTACACACACGAACGAACGCGCACACACACACACACACACACACACACACACACACACAGACGCTCGCAGATATCTTCCATTTAAAGACGATTGCTCTTCTGCTCACTTATTAATTACAGTAATTGTGAGAGAAATAAACCAGGCCATATGGAAGATCAGGAATTTATTGGGTTTTCTTGAGATACACAACAAGCCCTACCTCAGACGGATGTCGGTGCAGTAAGTGGACTCCAAGTGGATCGGGAAGTGGATCAAGCGGCCCCACCCACCCTTAGCCCCCACTACACACGTCCGCAATCTGCCACAGGTGTCGACTTCCTTTATTTAATTCAGTTTTTGGAAGAAAACCGACGACAAGACGACATCAGGAGGCGACAGGAAGACGATGAACAAAGGCGTGAAGAGAATCACAGACGTCAACAAGAAAATGCCAGGTTCAGTGCCATTATCGAGTTGTTGGCACCTGTTAACCTTCAAGCAGCTACTACACCTGCCTCTTCGTCCACAGGTGCACCTCCAGGGTCCTCTTCAACTTCTTTGCCCCCCCACAGAAAGCACTCGCTCAGAGTCCACCGCCACTCCAAGCTGATGCCTCGTTCCAGGTATTCCGTGAATGGCGTCGGAGGTGGGACGATTATTCGATGATGGTCGATTTATCAAGGTTGCCTAGGGAGAAACAGCTGATCCAGATGAGGATGTGTCTCACCCTAGAGACGCAACGTATCCTGGAGCACACCCTGCAAATTCCCCACGGCACAGACAAGAGTGTGAAGGACGTCTTGGATGCTTTACAGACGCATATCAAGGGCCTCCGCAACGAAGCTCTCCGTAGGAGAGAACTTCTCAGTTGTAAGCAGCTGGAGGGTGAGTCGTTTGCCGATTTTTACGTACGACTCAGACGCATCGCTGAGGAGGTTGACGTTTGTCCTGGGAACTCGTTGACTTGTGAGGAAACACAGCTGAAGATGATTATCCTCATGGGCGTGCGGGACGAAGAGCTAATTCAGAAGCTTATCTCCCTCGACACTGCCTCTTCTCTACAGGATGTTGTCACCACCTGCCGCTCTTACGAAGCCACCAGAAGTGCGACTTCTGCCATTCGTGCTCCATCTAACCAGCTGTGTGCCATCTCCGCATATAAGAAGAACAAAGGACGTGACCGGACTTCAGCTTCACATCCGACTTCAGCTTCACATCCGACTTCAGCTTCACATCCGACTTCAGCTTCACATCCGACTTAAGCTTCGCATCAATCTTCAGCATCACTTCAGACTTCGATGCCAGGTCATTCCTGCCAGTATTGTGCTCGTCGGCATGGTTCTGAATGCCCTGCCGCTGACAGCACCTGCAATAACTGTGGCCGTCGTGGTCATTGGGCTAGGACACTGAAGTGCCCTGCCAACAACGCTCAGTGCCGCTCCTGTAGCCGCATTGGACACTATGACAAATGCTGTCAGTCAAAGAAGAAGAATGATACTACTTGCAAGTCTCAGGCGGCGAAGAACAAGCGCTGTCGTCGCATGAGATCCTCTTCTTTCCCTGTCAGCAAGACACCTCAACCCTTCTGTGTTCACCTGTCATATGGCGACGTTACATCCCGTATCCAGATGCTTCCTGACACAGGTGCGGACGTCACAGTCATCGGCACAAGACACCTCGACATTCTGCGGATCCCTAGGAGCAGCTTGCAACCACCGTCAACTTCTACAACGCTCACCGCAGATGGTTCTACAATGGCACCTGCTCTGGGTACATTTCAGGCTACCCTCACCCTAGGTAAGCAGTCATGTTCTGCCAGGATTCAGGTCCACAAAGGTGTTCAGATGCCACTACTGTCTTATGGCCACTGTCAAGAGTTGGCCATAATATCTTCAGACTTCCCTAAGCCAATTCTGGAAATAAAACATGTCAACAGGTGCAAGGAGCTGCTCCTCCCACCCAATACGTCACCTTCTGCAGCCAGGGAGTTCTTCCTACTGCAATTCAAGGACGTGCTGGTTTCCAAGGAGGACCTCAAGACGGCTCCACTCAAGCCAATGGCTGGCTCCCCATGAGAATTCACCTGAAGGATGACGCAGTACCTTTCGCCATCCACACACCGAGACAGATACCCTTCGCTTTTCAGAGCCAAGTTAAGAAGGAACTCGACTCTATGGTAGCCCAGGGGATCATTAAGCCTGCTGGTGACGACCCCTCGGATTGGTGTCACCCCATGGTAACAGTCGCCAAGAACATTACTGGAGTTCGTATCACCGTCGACCTCACCAAGCTGAATAGCCAAGTTTCCCGCCCGACCCACCCTTGACCGACACCCTTCGCCACTATACGCAGTGTGGACCCGAAGGCAAGGTACTTTACTACAGCAGATGCCTTATGTGGGTACTGGCAGATGGAACTTGCGGAAGAAGATCAGCACCTCACGACGTTCATCACACCGTACGGCCGATTTCAGCACTGCAGAGGACCTATGGGTTTCACGGCTACTGGCGATGCTTTCTGCCTCCGTGGTGACATGGCCCTTCAGGGTGTGGCGAACTGTGTCAAGGTCATCGACGACGTGCTCCTATATGACGAGGATTACTCCGCGCATCTTGAACGTATTCACCAGATGCTCACCAGGTGCCGCAAGTACGGGATCACCCTCAACAAGGATAAGTTTGTGGTCGCCGCACCTAGTGTGAACTTCTGTGGGTACACCCTCTCAGGCAAGGGCATCTCGGCTGATCCTGTAAAGGTCAGCGCGATCCGGAACTTCCCAACTCCTGCCAACCTGACCGACCTCTGCTCGTTCATGGGCCTGGTAAACCAGTTGGCTGAGTTCACCCCCGACGTCGCCGCTGCAGCACAGCCCCTACGCCCCCTGATAAGCCCCAAGAGAACATTCACCTGGACAGCTGACCATGATGAGGCATTCCGTCGTGTCAAGACAGCTCTCCTTAGCCCACCTGTTCTCGCTTCCTTCGACCCGGCCCTGCCAGTTGTCCTCCAGACTGATGCCTCTCGCCTCTATGGGATTGGATACGCTCTGTTACAGGACCACGGCAATGGATGCCTTCGTCTGGTTCAGTGTGGCTCTCGGTTTCTCACTGACGCCGAGACTCGCTACGCCACCATCGAACTGGAGCTGTTGGCCGCCGTCTGGGCCATGTCCAAATGTAGGTTGTATCTGATCGGCCTACAACACTTCAACCTCATGACAGATCATCGGCCACTCATCCCGATCCTGAACCACTACTCCTTGGATGCGGTCGAGAATCCCCGCCTCCAGCGCCTTAAGGAGAAGATCTCGCCCTACCTCTTCACAGCTGTGTGGCGTGCTGGCAAGCTGCTCTGCATCCCTGATGCTTTGTCACGAGCCCCAGTCAGCCACCCCACACCAGAGGACGAGATCGCATGTGCTGATGCTACTGCACACCTCAGGACTGTAGTGACCGTGAACGCCGTCATCTCAGAAGAGTCTCCACCGCAGGACGCCGACAGGACTCTTCAGGAACTCCGAGCCGCGGCAAGAGCGGACCCTTCATACATCCGCTTACTGAACTGCGTGACCTCGGGATTTCCCTCCAACCGGTACGACTTACACAGCTCTTAATCCCATACTGGAAGATGCGGGACGATCTCTATGCTGATGGTGACCTCGTCTTGTATGGAGCAAGAGTTGTAGTTCCTGCCGCCCTCCGCCGCCGCACCCTAGCCCACCTGCACGACAGCCACAGGGGTGTGGAAGCTACGAAGCGCCGGGCGAGACAAGCTGTTTTTTGGCCAGGCATCGACTCCGACATCGCTAGTTCCGTTCAAGTCTGCGAGCCATGCCAGGTGCTGCAGCCTAGTCAGCAGCAGGAACCCCTCATGAACAACGACAACCCTACGAGGCCCTTTGAGTCCGTCTCTGCGGATTTCTTCGTTGTGGCGGGAAAGTCCTTTCTCGTCATCGCCGACCGGCTCTCAGGGTGGCCTGTTGTCGTTCCCTGCGGAGGCAACACTACTGCCTCTCATACAGTACGTATGTTCTGTCGCTACTTCCGGGAAGTTGGTGTCCCTCTCCGCCTGAGGACTGACGGCGGGCCCCAGTTCACCAGCAACGACTTCCGGGACTGCATGGAGCGATGGGGAGTTCATCATGTGGTGTCCTCGCCACATTATCCCCAGTCCAATGGACATGCCGAGGCTGCCGTAAAGTCCGTCAAGCATCTCATCCTCAAGACGGCACCCTCAGGCAACATTGACTGTGAGAAGTTTGACCGGGGTTTATTGGAATTGCGGAATACCCCCAACTTCACAGGTCGCTCCCCAGCACAGATGTTATACGGCCACCCACTACGGTCATGTGTCCCTGCCCATCCTGAGTCCTTCTCGAGGGAGTGGCAGGCCAAGACCGAGGACTGCGATCGTCGTGCAGCCGCCCGTGCTGACCAGGTAAAGGCACAGTACGATCAGCACGCCCGACCCCTTCCCAGGTTGAGTATCGGGCAAACAGTTCGGATTCAAGACCCGACGTCTCACCGCTGGGACAAGGTCGGGGTTGTCATGGGCTACGGCAAGACCAGGGATTGCGAGGTTCGTCTCCCTAGTTTTCGGGCATGGTGGCGGAACCGCCGCTTCCTTCGTTCAGTACCGTCCCCTAGTGGTGAACCCCTCCCCCACATCCCTGTGAACCCTTGCTTGGACGAGAAAAGTAAGTCCTCATTCAGTGACCCCCCAGTTTTCCCACGTCACTCTCAAAGGCTCCTGGAAAAAGAGTCCGCTCGAGATTGCACTACGAGCGTGAGGGGGGAGGGAGGTGTAGATATATGAGACAAATATGGCTGTAATATGTAACTCTGTACTATTTACCATTATTGATTCAGGTCTCTGTATTATATGTTTTATAATCATACTCCCTTTTGTCACCAAGTGTTAGTTCAGGCTTTGGGCACATGCACGCTGTACGCGCATGCGCAGAGAGAGATACCCAGAGAGATTCCAAGACAGGACGCTGTTTACCCCTGTCTTAACTCCTTTTTGTGTTTGTACCAGAAATAGAACTTACGGACTTGACATCAGTGTGTTTCCTTTACCCCTGAGTGTAAGGACCACCTGAGTATCACACAACCATCACTTGCTCTCTTGCTCATGTTGAATAGGGATGCATAAATGCTTTAAGAAACCTGAGAAAGTTTTTCTCCTGTTCCTGTTCAGATGCGTGAAAACAGAGACTGCCAAGCTCCGACTGTTATTTACTGGCGATGCGCATTACCATCATTAGCCAGGCAGCTTCTTTGCACAAGGCGCTCTTTATTTTTTTTTTCAGTATTTTTTTCTTTTATAATACATATCAGGATTTAGTTATTATTTATATGAAAATGTAATTTTATTTTATTTTATTTTATTATATTTTGGTCGTAAATACAAATGAAATAAGGATGTAAATTGAATTGGGTCTTAAATTAACTAGGGTCTTAAATATGAAAAGTTGTTGGTCAAACCGTTGTTATTTGATTTACTTTACCTTACAGGAGAAGCTGACATTTTGACACATGAAAATTGTGTCAGTGAGTTACATAAAGAAATGGTAGTAGTTGAGAAGTCACAGGAGGAGTTGAGTGGGGAGGTGGCAGAGTATGTAGAAGAGACCAAGGCACCACTCCTACAGGTGACACACACTGTCACTCAGCTTGATATCCATCGCATTCGCAAACTTCTGTAAGTTAATTGTCTCCCTAGAAATTATGCATGTGTAGTTTTAAGAAAACACACTAATGTGCGCACACACACACACACTAATTGTTATTATTATTATTATTATGCACACAGGTATAGATGTATATATTTAATGTTACTTTAATATGTACGTATATTGTATATATACAGTACTACAGTTTATAAATATACAGTCATTCAAAAAACTCTTTTTTTCTGGGGGGGGGGGGGTTGATGAATTTCAAAATGAACACTATGACTCCTGGTAGGGTTATCAAAAATTTTCGTCCGTTGTGTTATATAGTTTAATACAAATTAGTAAAGCTGTTTTTTTCTATAAACTAGTTTTTGTGATATAGTCCAGAATGCGACGTCTAGCTTTATACCTAGGTATGTAAATGCCTGGCATTAACTCGCCAGGCCAACATACAGGCATTTAAAACATCTAATAATTACTTAAATACATAATATTAGGAGGACACGTCGCTACCTGGCATTTAATTGCAATTCTTAAAAACCCCTCCCACACCTTCCATCACACGCATTGCTGCCGTCATCTCTTGCCCTAGAGCAAGCAGTAAACAAATGTCAACTCTTGAGGGGTGGAGATGGGTGGGATGTCGACGTCACATTCTGTACTATATCACAAAACTGTTTTTTAGAAAAAAAAATTGCTTTTTGTTCAATCAAGAATGCAATGTTTAGCTTTGATTACCTGAGCAGGCAGTAGAGAGGGAGGTGACATTGCGTATAAGACTAAGCTAGCTTAGGTCCAGATTATAATTATAAACTTTTTGGAATATTTTCCAATATTAGGAACATTTAGGGGAAGGTAAAATGTTAATTTACATGTCCCAATTAGGATGCTCACTTTATTCTGATGAGGAAGAAGAAGGTCTTGGTTGTGGAGAGTAACTAGGTGGGGGAGGGGAGCCCAGGACCACCACATGTGGAGCATTTTTCAGAGATAGATGAAGATAGCTGTTTTGAAAGGTTTTTGATGATTTCCAAAAGCCCACTTCTTTGATCTGACTGAGGTTCATATGCTGCAGAAAGGCCACAGACCCTGCATATTTCCTGGTGTCATGTGTCAAAAATTTCTTGCCAGGGTCTGCTTGACTCACTAACTGAGATAAATATTTTGTCATTTGACTAGGAGACAATTTCTTGCCATTCTGTGATGAGAATACATTCTTGAAGATTCTTAACTGGGCACAATATATGAGGAACCCTTGTCTCATCCGTTAGCCATTTTATCCTCCTAGGTTGAGCTTGAAAATCCTCCCTTTCATTTTTTCTTATAATCTCCAAAGGAAAAAGTGTGGCATCTTCCTCAGAAAATACCAATAATGATGGATTATTGGAAATTGAAATCAGCTCACTGATTCTCATACCTGTTGCTATTGCTAGAAGGAAGGCTGCCTTCTGGAGCAATCTGTCCCAGTTCAGATTTATATTGTAGTTGGGCCCCATAAAACATTTAGTAACTTTATTTAGAGACCAAGGTGGGATTCTCTTAGGCCGAGGGGTCTCTGAATGAAAAAGGGCGATCTGAGCATTTGATAAATTCTTCGGTTCAAAGTAATACAGTGTTCAAACCCCACGCCAGAGGTTCAACCAATGCTGATTTATAAGATGCAATTGTAGATCCTTGAAGTTTAGGGTCTATGACCTGCTATCACTTGGTTAACTATATTGGAATTACCCAACAATTTATTTAAACATCTTTTGAGAAACTCCAAGTGTGAAGTGCCAAGGATATCTCGAACTGAGGGTGAAGTACCTGGTCTAGACATCCTTGTTGCAATTGTAGTGGATGTGGGCACCATTCTAACAGATCCAGACACCACTGTTGTAGGATCCAATATGGTGCAATTAAGAGGACCTTTCCCTGGAAGGATCTGAGTTTGTGATGTTACAACCTACACACTCTTTTCTAGGACTCACTAGAGGATGTATAGTCAGCCCATAGGCCCAATATATCAGAGGAGACTCTGAAGTAATGGCTTCTGTTAACAGAGGTTAAATGTTAAACACAGACCCTTACCTTACTTCTGGCTAACAACCTCCTGACAGGTGTTTATTTCAATACCACCTTTCCCATTAAAACTGGTTTAATCAAAACACAGCTTTAAAATTACAACAAAATATGATAAATATGTGCTCCCCATCCATGTTCATACAAAAGGCCACAAATCAATTTACTCAGAATAATGTTATCTCCACCAAATGCAGTGCTCTCACTAATACAATACTCTCTCAATAATACAATACTCTTTAGACTATATGAACATATTACACTTTAGTTAACACCATAATTATCCATGATTGCCTAGATAATAATAGATAAATATGCACCACACAAGCTTGACCCTTCTATCCTCCTCAACCTAGCTACTGAGAGTGCCCCCCAAAACCAAAGCAATGTTTCATCAACATATAATATAATTCTCTTTATACTTCACACCTGCTTCTTACAGTCTTTCATAACTGTATAAAAAATAAAAATACGTTCTACAAAGTTTACATAATGAAACAAATACTAGTACAGTGGTCCCTCGGTTAACGAACGCTTCGGTTAACAAAATTTCGGTTAACGATTTACTTTTCATAAGAATCTTCAATTCGTTTAATGAACAAAAATTCGATTAACGAAATTCTTACGAAAACATGTCAACATGTTTTGGCTTGCTCATCGGCTGGTAGGTTAGTCTGCCAATACAATAATCAGTTCTAGGCTTACATTCGTTTCCATTGGAATAAATATCAAGAAGGTTGTGCTGTTCAATATTTTTCCAAATTTTATATTAAAATTATTAGGACTTTAACACTTATTTAACATAATTGCAGTACAGGGAACTAGTTTGTGGTACGCCCATCAGCCACTTCACTCACCCACCAAGGCGTCTGTTTGAGTCTCTGTTCAGTGGAGGAAACATCTTGCTTGTGGGTCTCTTGAACTCAGAGTATTTTTACATTTTTACGGTACAATTATTGGTCATTCTGAAATTTATTTAACATATTGATAATATATAACGCAGTGCAGTGTTGATTTAAAGAAAATAAGCCGTTTTTTTCTAAAAACCAGTTTTTGTGATATAGCTCGAAAGGTGATTTCTCCTACATCCCCACTTCCTTCTCTTCTCCCTTCTCCTCCACCCCCACTTCTAATTCCCATCATCATCATCAACCAGGAACCTTCTATATACACACTTCAAAGTAAGTGTACTTTACTGCATTTTTTTTTTACTTTGTATGTACTTTCGGTGAGCTGGAACCAATTATACCCAATATCCCATTGAAACAATGGATTCGGTTAACGAAATTTTCGGTTAACAAACGATCTTCTGGAATGAATTGTGTTTGTTAACTGAGGGACCACTGTATACATACTTATGTAAAATAATCAAGACATTTTTTAAAGTCTTTACCATAAGCATGGAATTTTGATTTTAAAGAAAAATGGAAAACAACAGAAACTAAATACAATGGGTAACTGAAACAAATATTGAGGGAAAGGGGAGATGAGCATAACAGTGAACAACTTTGGACAACATTTTCACAGGTGGGAAGAGATAGATTGAATTCCAATGGTTCCAATCTATGAGTAGAGTATTTCCTAAAAGATTCGATCATTCCAGAGATGCATAAGTAGGCATCTTGTGATTGTTTTTTGAGGCAAAGAGATCTATTTGTGGAGTCCCAAACCTCCTCACTAGACTCTTGAACTTTGATAGCGTTAGGAACCATTCTGTTTCCGTTGATACTGGCCTGGGACGAGACAACGCATCTGTTCAATTGTTTTGTACTCCTGGTATGTGAGTTGCTTTGAGGTAAAGTGTTTGTGTTACACAAACTTCGTATTTTTTTCTGGCAGTGTGAGAAGGGGCCTGGTTGAGCCTTGATGATTGAGAGAAAACACTGCCGCTCTGCTGTCCATGGCAAACAGAAACGTCATATTTTCTTGTAATTTGTGTTTGCCAACAAAAAGAATAGGACTACTGCTAATTCTTTTATGTTTATGTGTTTGTCCCAAAGGGTGTTGCTCCACTTCCCTTGACGGAACTTTCCTTTTGAGGAATGGTATCCCCATCCTATCTCGGACGCGTCCATACAAACAACCAAGTCTGTTTGAGGGGGAACCCAGGGAGATGACCCAATTAGATTGTCCAAATTTGTCCACCATGACAATTGATTCTTGATCTGAATAGGGAGAGAATAAGCAATATTTTTGTTTCTATGAAACAACTTAGACCCCAGAAGAGTTAGTTGCTTCTTCCTTTACGTGCCCAAAGGAACTACTATGGTGGCAAAATTCAACAGACCCCTTAGTTTTCCCAATCGTGCCAAGAAACCTCTTGCTTTACACAAAAGGCTTCTACTTGGTTTATCACATCTGTTACCTTTGCTTCTGGTAGAATGACTGACTGCTGAGTGGTGTCCCAATGGAGACCTAACCAATGCAATTTCTGACATGGTAGGAGATTTGATTTGACCTGGTTTATCTTTAATCCTAGGTTTTGAAATAGTACTAGTGTACGTTGGGTCGCCCTTTGACAATCTTCGAAAGAGTTTACCACTATCAGCCAATAGTCAAGATAAGTAAAAGTTCTTTAGCCTTCCTTTGCAAGGATCTCCCTGGGGATGTTCGCCAGTTTTATAAACACTTTTGGTGTAATTGTCAGGCCGAATGGCATCACTGTGAATTGATAACTTACATCCCCCACTGCGAACACTAGAAACTTTCTGTACCTGGGAGCAACAGGCACGTGATAATAGGCATCTTCGAGATCCAAATTTTGAGATCCAAGCATTGGGCGGAAGTAGATGCCTCAGATGATCGTAAGTGAGAATCTTGAAACTTCTTTTGGTAATGAACTTATTCAGGACGGAAAGATCTAAAATCCACCTCAATTTGTCGCTGCTTTTCTTGGGGACTGGGAACAGGCGAGACATGAAACACTTCTCTGACTGCAACAGTTCTATCACACCTCTGTTTAACA